AAGCTGTGATGAAACTGTTTTGAGAGCGAGGTTCTAGTTGTATATTTAGATATTTTCAACACAGTTCAATTCATACTGGCTTTTAAAGTTATGTACTCAAGCTTTAATCACAACAGTGACCCAAAAATGACCCAATGAGCACATCAGAAACATCAAATTTGACAGAATGTTTTCATAATTTTGTGGTTTCTCAGAATCCAAGGAATCCAAGGAGAACATGAAAAAGAAATTTTACTTAAAAGGTGCAGTTAGCGATGTTGTTAGCTTAGCCGTAGCACCAACTGGAAACCACTCCCCCCTCCCTCTCTACCAAACCAAACATCCAGAATTTTCTTTTCTTTGTCACAACCATGGATGTATTATATTAACTGGATAGGGTATTACTAGCTTGTAGCTGAATAACCCATGTGCTCGGGGGATTCTCGCGGTACTGCAGACTGAACCAGACTGAACCAGACTAAATTCACGTGGGCTACCCAGAATTTTTCCTCACAGAACTCAATGCATATTAAAATAGCTAAACCTCAGCTGACAGAGAACCTACAGCTTTAATAAAGATCGGATTTTGTGGGGATTTTAGTGTCCCTTGTCATCCTGAACTTTTTTTCTTCTTAAATCCTTCGGTTTTGTTTAAATCCACACTTTAGTGCCACAAACTCTGCTCGTCTGGCTCTCGCTCTAACTCCCGCTCTGATGAACTGCTCTGATTGGTCAGAGCGCAGCCGAGCCCCTCTGTGCACGTGCATGAGACCCGGTGTGAGACCCACACACGCGTGTTTGGCGCAACGCATTATGGGAGATCATCCACTGCGCAGAACCGGGAGGACCAGACGATGCCCAAATACAGGAGAGTTTCCCATAGATCTTTGAGAGTTTCAGGCAACTTCCGCTAATCTTTCAGCCCCCATGCCGTCACAAAGCGCCACTGAGCACAACCATTCATTTGAATAGGGCGCCATCTTGGATCGCCGGGGCTTGGTCACAACAGGGAGAGTGGGCGGCAAACGTGAAAGTGGCATTTTCTGTTCAGCCATTTTAGGTTTTAGAAAATCCGATAAATCCGGTGCACTCGCGAGAAACAGGAAGAGGGTGAAGGGGGTAAACTCATCCCATTGGTTTATTTTTATCGGTCCACTCCAAAATATTTGTTAATTTGTGTAGACTATAGACATCTGGTCAATTCCATTACTATTTGAAAACACATGAGAACTTGACTACTTTTAGGGTTTAGGGACGTTTTCCCACAATATTTAAAACAATGCGTCTGGAAAAAAATCACTGACTGCATCTTTAAGAAAAAATGTAGATAATATCAGAAAAAAACTTTATTGATCTCACAACGGAGACATTTACAGACATTTATGAGCTCCACTGATGACATCCTGCTGGTCCACTATAGAAAAACAATAAAGTAAGAGAATATGTGGTACCAGTCTTCTTAATGATCTTGCCGTCTCTGATATAAAGTAGCAGGCCTTTCTTTCCCTCTGGCGTGGGCGTGTCCGGTCCAGGTGCTGACCGTGGCGTGCACCCTCTAATCTAAGCTCTGTGTCACATAATGGCGGTGCTCTTAACACACTCCCTTCAAACGCTCGGGTAATTATCCCACGTGCTTTCGGCCGAGCCACTCCGCAGCAGAAGTGACACACCTTCGAGAGGGAAGAGGTACAACTTAGTCACCAGAGAAACTGCGGTTTGCCAATTTCCTCCTGTCGCTTTATGTGAACAAGAGAAAGGGGGTGGAGGGTGGAGGGGGGAGGGGGAGGGTGGAGGGACAGGGTGGAGGGACAAGAAACAAGACAGGATTGTGCTGTGGTTGTCGATGGTTGTGTTACTATAGTATTGATAGTTAGCTATAGAAACGTGTATAGATAGATTTTATACTTGCTTCCTACTGTTCTGTAACTGGCGATGCAACACTGAAATTTCCCCACTGTGGAACCAATATAGGATCTCTTCAAAATTGATTTGATTATACAAGACACATGGTACAAACTTAAAAATAAAGAAATAAAAAAGCTGGAAAAGGGTTTGGATAAAATAGTAATGCTGTAACAGGTAACTCTATTAAATCAATTATTTAAATAGTTATTAACTCATTTAGTGATGGATTCATCCTTTTTGAGCCTGGACTGAAAAATAGAGGTTTAATGATAATAATCAGATAATTGTATGATGACAGCAGAATGAAATGAAAATTACAAAATATTTCAAATCAAAATACTCAATGTGTGAAAAGTCGTCTCTATGAAGATGTTCTCCGGGAGCTTCACTTTGTTTTGGTCAAATATTTAACAAAAATCCCACTTTCTCTGACCGTTCGTTCATTATCCAGCACTTTGCAAGTTACAGGAATATATATATAAGGCATTCATAAAAAACTTTAAAATGTATATCGGAGCATTTTCCTAAAAAATTTTAAAGAACCCACACCCTCTCCACGCTCTGAACAAAACTCTCTGGTCTTTTTGGACAAGAACGTATCTCCAGAATGATTGACAATTAGGAGAACCAATAGTCTTGATGATTCACCCGGAAGTAGAAAAACCCCAACATTGCTACAAATTCATCAAGTCAAAAGAATAATCTAGAATGAACTAATAATATATTGATAAGTAAGTATAATGACAAAGAATGGCCTCACTCCACCACTAACCATGAGTGGAAAGAAAAATCTGAAAAGTGGGAAAGAGACAAAGCCTGGGGATGTAAATGCAGGTATTATAATAGGCAGGAATCTGTTTGTTTTCATGGACCAATATATATTTATTTTTATTTTAAGTAAGTGAGTAAGTTTATCTATATAGCGCCTTTCACAGACCAGGATCACAAAACGCTTCACATTTAAAAACATACAGTGATAAAAGTAGACATACTCACATAAACATACGCATTTTTGTTTCTTGACGACTGCTGTTAAACAAATATAACCGTTTAAAAGTATTTCATTTTGACGGCACGAGTTTGTGACAAAATAAAACCTTTTTCCTTACACAGAGTTAGGCCACCCACTGTTTTACTCTAATGGACCAAAAATAATTTCCAAACATATTGTGACAAAACCAGCTGAGCTACAGGGAAAGGAATGGGACATAAACCCAGATGTACAACTGAGAATTAAATGACCTTTTTTTAAAATTAAATAATAAATAATCTTTTCAGCAGCAGATTTTCCACTTGCTTTCATTCTGAAACGCTTCAAACCTTGATTGTGCACATGAGTCAGCAGATAGAGGCGACTCGGGAGAAGAGTAGAGAGAGGAGGGAGGGGGGGGGGGGGGGGGGGGAGAGAGAGAGAGAGAGAGTTTTCAGGGCACGGTGCCAGAGTAAGATCTGGAGCTGAGGCAAAGATAAAGCCGTCTTTAAAACGAGCCATTTCATTGTCGCTATAGCACTTATCAGCAGCAGCGCGGCCTTTTCCATTTTATTACCGGCTCTAATAGCTACACAAGCAGGTCGCGATAATAGACTCGAGTGCAAGACAATGAAGTCTACCATCTGGATTTGCCAAACTAGAATAGACTTTATGGTGCCGTAAATATTGCACTATAATCACACCGAGAATATCACATCATCAGGAGGGACTGCATGCCTCCAGTACAGTATACCTTAAAGCTATAGCCCCACTCCAACAAACCTCTCAATTTTTTACTATATTTGGCAATTAAACAGCCCTCGCTTCATTTTCACTCAGCTTGTGCCGCAACCCTCCTCCTCCCCATGATCGCCTCAACAGTGGGACCCTCTCTACTTGTCATCAGCAGATCATTTCAGCTTCCACCACCACGAGGGAATAGACATTTTCTTACAAGCCGAGGTAAGATAAGAGGACCTTTATCGGCCCCACTGTGGTGATTGTGAAACATTAGCATATTCTGATTTAGATCTTTTAATAACATACTACATCAGGCACACCAATCTTGTGTTCAGGGTCGATACCAATACCGATAACACAATAAAAGTCAAATAAATAAAGTCAAATGCAGATTATTGTAGTCACAAAGGTTTCATTTAAACGTTTATGTTTATCTAGCAAAAAACTATAGTATAGCTCCTAAAAAAATAATATCTCCCACTGTACGGACTGGATGTGATGTTTCTGCAGTGTTGATCTCCTCAGTGACAGGCTAGTATTTGATATGATTGTCATGCTTTTTAAGTAAATATCGACAAAAAGAAACCAAACTAAACTGATCAGACACAGTAAGGACTCTGTAACAACCTGAGACAGTAGACTAATACATAGTTGAGTTGTTTCATTGTTATTTTTGACCAGAAGTTATAATTTGACTGGTAAAAATATATATATTTTTACCAGTATCATTGTGATTAATGATACCATTAATCACAATAATGCATTGGTTTTATAAAGCACGTTTTAGGACACTCAAAGACGCTTCAAATGTCATTATTAATTCACTCCATACACAGCGTGAAAGAATAATGACTATGTAGTTTCACTGTAGCCACAGCCGCCCTGGGGCACACTGACAGAAGCGAGGGAACCAGTATGTGCCGTGGGCCTCTCCGACCACTACCAACCATTCACGCACACACATCCTTCATCGTTATTGGTCGATATCGTTGCCGTGACGTGCCAAAATCTTCCATAACCATATTTTACTTGATAACATCATGCTAATACGTCCTTTTCTCTTTCCAGATTGAATGAACAAATTAACCAGCCATATCCTTGATCAGCAGCGGAATAATCTTCAGGCTGGTAAATCCAAAATTTATAGATTACACAGTTCCGATTATAACTGGCAGCGTAAAAAATGAAGAATGTACTTTTGAATGGGTTCGAGGGGAAGTTCACCAATAATCGCAGATCTCAAAATCAAATTTTTTCGGAGGAACTGAGTGCTTGGCGGCTCCTTGTACGCGTTATGCCAGAGCGCTACAGAAATCCCCAAACGCTCCAAGAGAAGTAACAGCTGAAAAAGGGAACAAGCACTTCCCCAAAATCAGCGTTATAAAAAGAGGAAGTGTTCTCTCACCCGTTGGTTCCATTGGCCGTGCGCGTTGGCTGCGAGACCGTCACCTCTGCTGGACCCTGCGGACACAACACAGACACAATATGGTCAAACTCAGTCAAAACATTAGCAATCGATGACGGTGCACATCAGAGATTTTTCGAGTGGGTTTGAAAAAAGGTATCTCCGAACGGCCTGTTGTGTGAGGCGTTTCTTTTAGGATTCAGTACAAAGCCAGGGCTACTATAGTGTTAACAGTGGTGGTAGAGCAGTGAGATAATTTGCATTCCAGCCAAAATACAAAATTGCCCAAGCCTGTTCTCAATGTGAATGGGTTAAAAAAATGTCAATGCAAAACTACTGCTTAGACCTGTTCTGAAATGAGGTGCTTTAGTTAGGTTCTTTATGATTTTGCAGAGAATTTTAAAATATTTAATGTCAAAATACTCACAATGCCTCTGGAAAGAACTTTAATCAATATTTCTGGACATCGGTCATCTGCCCGTTAAGGATCAATGCCTCTATCTATTTTTTCTAGTAATGCATTTCATGAGTTTGAACTGTTTGATTCTCTGATCTGTGTTGGCGAATTCAACAGTTTTGTAAAGTCCTCCGTGATTACTATTGTTGTGATTCGGGGCGACACAAGAATAAATTGAATTGAACTAATACACCTCGAACCTTTGCATATTTTCTCAGGTTTTGATCCATAAACTCAGATTGTAGATGTTTCTTTACTGAAAGTACTGTGTGTACTTTCAGTACTTAAAGGACAATTGTGAAGCAATACATGATTCTGTGTTTTATTTTATTTTATAGAAAAGTGAAGTTAATCAGTACATGGGGCCATCCGTCGTACTTTACATAAAATGGTCTTTATGGATGAGTGGCAAGAAAAAAGCCATGAAAGGAGGCCATAAGAAATCCTGTTTGAAGTTACCCCACTCTGCTCATCGTTCTGTGTGCACCAACCCCAGTGTCAAAAATGGTGGGGGGTGCATCATGCTCTGGGGCTGCTTTTCTTCAGCGGGAACTGGGAAGATTGTAAGAAGTGCTGGGAAAATGGCAGGAGCAAAATAGAGAGACATTTTGGAGGGAAACCTGCTAGAGTCATGAGAATTGAGGCTGGGGCAAAGATTCACCATCCAGCAGGGCAATGACCCTAAACACAAAGCTACATCTAATATGAAATGGTTTAAAACAAAACGTGTTCAAAATCCAGAGATAAAATCCATAGAAAATCTGTGGAAAGACCTGAAAACTGCTGTTCACAAACGCTCTCCATCTAGTTTTCAAAAATCAAATTGTTTTTTGTTTGTTTTGTTTTTATGGGCTGAACTAGATCCCCAAAAGGTATTACAAAGGTTACGATTACAATTCTGTATAAATACTTGTGCATATCCAACTTTTCGATTTTCTACTTAAAAAAACAACTATGAAATGAAAGAAGAATGATCGATGATTCTGACACTTGTATGTCAGTGAAAAAGCAAAAGAGAAATGTGTATGTTTATTGTTTTTTCATGAAGATCCCTCCGAGCCCAAGCTAGCGTTACATAAACATGACAACATGGAAAAAGTTCAAGCTGTATTGAAACTTTTTCCAGACACTGTGTAATTACCTTGACTGTATATTAATAAAAAGGAGCAGTACAACCTGTAATGTTCACTTTAATCTATGTATAATCTTGCGTTCACAGTCCACAGGTGAGCGATCTGTCTGTAGCGTGTCCTGAGCGGCCGTTGCATGTGGCGGATCCTGGCAGCTGCTCTGTCAGTCCATAGCTGCTGTTTTTGTAATACTTGGCTCTAACTTTGAGGCTTGTACTGGTGGAGTGAAATATAGCATACAAAACACCGTTATTCAATACAGCGGAGGGGAACAGAGGCCTCTTCTGTGCAGCACCCTAAAACACTTTTATTCATGTTGGCCGCACAGTGAAGTCCATGCCCCAAAAATAACCTCATATCTTTTCAACACATAAAAGCTCATTTTATGGATCAAACGCTCTGCCAGGCCTCCTACTAAGAGCATAACAAGTGAACGCAGTTAAGGGCCTGCACCATGTTTTGAAAGTGTTGAAATGGTCAAAAACACAATTAGTTCATTTTAAGCTGCTTACAGAAATCCTTAGGAACTGCTGCAAATGATCCATCAATATCATCATATACTAGTTTAATATTATTACATATTAGTTATTTAATTATTAATACACATTAGTAATTACTTGTTACATACTAGTAATGTTGTGACATTTTTAAACAGCATCAGGCATACATAGCGTGACACTAAAGCTAGTTGGAGTTAGCAAAAGCAAGACTATCTACTGTTTGAATGAGAAGCGCTATGTAAAAAAAACTTCTAACCATTGAAGGGTAAGTAACATAAAAAATTTGCACGATAGAAAACTGTATTCCATGGGAAAAGGGTTTTGTAAAGTATGGATTTGTTGCTGCAGTATCAAATGGAGGCCTCTAGTCTCATAAACGCAACAGGCTGAGGATAACAGCCAAGCCCCGGTGATCCAAGATGGCGCCCTGTTCAAATGAATGGCTCGGGCTCAGTAGCGCATGGGACTTCATGGAGACCGGGAGATTAGCAGAACTCGCCTTTATTTGGGCATCGTCTGGTCCTCCCGGTTCTGCACAGTGGATTAGCGCAATGCATGATGGTAGACATCTCCCATCATGCGCCAAACGTGCGCGTGTGGCTTTCATGCACGCGCACAGAGGGGCTTGGCCGCGCTTTGACCAATCAGAGCTGCTGATCAGAGCAGCAGAGCGGAGCCAGAGCGGGAAGGCAGGGAACAGAGTTTGTGGCAGTAAAGTGTGGATTTAAAGAAAACCGAAGGATTTAAGAAGAAAAAAGTTCAGGATGACAAGGGACACTAAAATCCCCACAAAATCCAATCTTTATGAAAGCTGTAGGTTCTCTTTCAGCTGAGGTCGAGCTGTTGAAATTTAAATTGAGTTCTATCGGACTTTTTTCTGGGTAGCTCACGTGACTTTAGTCTGCAGTACCACAGCGCCCCCTGTGCCCATGGGTGGGACAGCTATAAGCCAGTAATACCCTATCCAGTTATTATTATAGATCCATGATAACAACACACTATCCAGCTTCTACCATGGCGTTTGCCCCATTTAGCTACATTAGCAAAAGTTAGCTCAAGTTAGCCAGATTAGAAAAGGTTAGCTCAAGTTAGCTCAAGTTAGCCACATTAGCAAAGGTTAGCTCAAGTTAGCTCAAGTTAGCCACATTGACTGGAGCCGCGTATTTGCGCGAATTCTTTGGGCTCCGTGACACAGAGGAGCGCGACAGACCGGTATGTGTGTGTGTATGTGTGTGTGTGTATGTATGTGTGTGTGTATGTATATGTGTGTGTGTGTAAATGTAAGCTCCAATGTAGTTCTGACCCGCGCCAGTGTGCTTTGACGGTAACAGAGGGGAGAGATGATGCGTGTGGATGTTACGTATGGAGAGGGGGAAAGTGTGTGTGTGTGTGTGTGTGTGTGTGCGCGCGCGTGCGTGTGTGCATATGTGGCTCGTGCGGCGTGAGAGTCGTCCCGGAGTTTATAATACATGGGCGCACACAGCTAGATACAGACCCGCTCGTCACACCGTGCAAATAGGGCTTAAAATAGCGTTAAGAGACCTCCCCTCTCCCCTTTTTCTCTTTTTTAACCGACAGCTTTGACCGGTTAACGCTGTGACGGTCAACCACCGGTTAACCGGTCGCCGATTTACATCCCTAAATAATAATGAACTATTCAGCATTTCACTTTGGACCAGAGCAGAGAAAATGCTCCGAACCAATACTCCACCTTGTGACCCGTCCTGCTCCACCCAAAGACTACTCCACCTCTGCTGCTGTGACCCGTCCTGCTCCACCCAGAGGCTACTCCACCTCTGCTGCTGTGACCCGTCCTGCTCCACCCAGAGGCTACTCCACCTCTGCTGCTGTGACCCGTCCTGCTCCACCCAGAGGCTACTCCACCTCTGCTGCTGTGACCCGTCCTGCTCCACCCAGAGGCTACTCCACCTCTGCTGCTGTGACCCGTCCTGCTCCACCCAAAGACTACTCCACCTCTGCTGCTGTGACCTGTCCTGCTCCACCCAGAGGCTACTCCACCTCTGCTGCTGTGACCCGTCCTGCTCCACCCAAAGACTACTCCACCTCTGCTGCTGTGACCTGTCCTGCTCCACTCAGAGGCTACTCCACCTCTGCAGCTGTGACCTGAAGGGCTGTTGCTGATTATTACTATTGTTAGCTTTTTTTGTATTTTTTATTTTTGCTGCTACTGGACACCTGAATTTGAACGGGGATCAATAAAGTATCTATCGACTGTATCTAACTTGAAAATTGCCAAGATGACTCATCCGTATTACACAGTGCTCCTTTACGTCTCTATGTTCCCATGTGACCTTGGAAAACCCCAGTGGGCCGGAGAGCTGCCCTGACTGTGTACATTTTGGGCTGGTTCCCCACGGCGCGCGGCCTGCACTGGGTGTCTACATGTTGTCTCTACAAGCCGCAGCCTTGAGCAGCGACGGTGGTGGCCTCAACCCAGAACTGTGCCCGAAACACTATCCCCAGGTCACAGCCAGGGCCCAAAGCACTTCACACACCACACTTTACTACTAGGCAAACTAGACTAAGTATAGCCCGCGCCCTGCAATAACTGCCTCTCATCTGGATCGCACCGAAATAGAATGAAAGCAAAAGTTTAGCGCAGTGATGTTAAAGTCTTCACACCAAGTACCACCTTAGAAAATATTGGTCTTTCTCTGCATGTCTGACGGACAACGGGGTCTTTCACAGTTTCTCCGAACGAATGGGAAAGATATTGGTACCAATGTCTGTCAGCTGATATTTGCTGCATCATTCTATAGTATTTTGGTTTGTGTACAAAGTTTAAAGTAGAAATATGCAAGATTTTTATGTCAAGTCATCATTAAAGGGCCCTAATCTGTCAAAAGGCATTCATAAAACATGATCTTTTCAAATGCTCCTTTAACTGATAACAGTAGTTTAGAGATATTTGGATTTCAAAAATTGGATTTACAGCTCCTAAATCTTGT